GATTTTCGCGTTCCGTTTACGGCACTCTGGAGGGGTTGCCTGGGTGGTGTCAAATTTGCAGTGGGCCAACTCCCTCACACGGTCCATTTCACACGGGTGGTTACTTTGATGACAGTCACCAAACTGACCAGTGCTCCATTTACCATGTGCTGGAATTTTCCGTTACTGTCACCGAAGTGCTCGAATCACATACATATATATATATATATTCTAATGATAACACACCATACGTGGACGATTTGGTGCGCATACCGCGCCATATACGCTAGTGACCTTAAAATTCTAATAGTGACTACAACAAAAAAAAATCAATATTCATGGCGATAACAAAGCCAAAATTACAAAATAGCAGAGATAAGAGTCGTTATTAAAATTATCCAAAAGCACAGATTGTCTAAAAAAAGAAAACTCGGAAAATATCTACAAGATGACAAAATCGTAAATTCATTAAAATTCCAATGACGACCGAATGGGTTGTGGTAAATCAAAAAGCCTGAAACACTCGAAAATGGCGTTATACGTCATGGACAATAAGACTAATGAACTTACGAAAAGTTGAAAGATTCAGATTTGTTACTACAAAATTATCAGCCTCATCAGCTGTGGCGGGGGGAAATTGAAGAAATTCAAAGTCCCGTGCATAACAATTAATTGGGAAGTTATTAATAAAAAAATTACGGGAAAAAACGATAAATAATAATTTGTCCGTTACAAAAGGAGACATTTTTTTTAGGAACTAACAATTGTTTCCAAGAATCAAATTTCAAGTGAAAAGAAATTTTAGTGATGCAGGGCAGATTTTTCTTCAAAATTGTTACCGTTTGAAACTAATAACAAAAAATTAATAGGTTTTACAAATCAAATATGTGGAATCATTTTAAACTCGATAATTCTCACATTGAGATCGAAGCGTGAACTCAACTCCTCACGTGGCTGTGGGTCTGTGTTTACCGGTGAGCACATACGCGTTGTATAAACAAAAGACTTAGCCTCTTGAATGCATGCTGAAGCATTTCGAAGTGGAGTCAATATTCTATGCAGCGTAAACAGGATACGATACAACATAACCAGTAATAATAACATGAAATTATATTTTTTCACATTGAATGGTGATGGGTAGCTGAAAAAACGGACTTCAGAAAGGTTTTTTCCATTTTCGAGTGTATTTTCCATTTTATGAGTTAAAAACAGAATGATATGATGGGAAAACATTATATTTGTGTCACTGAAAAAATTTTCGATTTTCATTAAAAAGTTCAGTAAAATTAGTCTTTCTACTGCCAAGCTTTTGATGATTGCATGAAAACCGATGTTTTAAGTGCCGGACATTCACCAAAGCACAGCAAACTGATGCATGCGTTGACTTGATATGTCAATGAATTTCTGGATATTCCGTCTGTTTGAACAAATAACTGCTGATATTCACACAATTACAATCTCCCAAATTTGTAACTTAGTAGAAATGGGCAAGTAGTTGCACCACATATTGCAATTTTTCGAAACGTTTCACATAAATTTTCCGACTGTTCTTCAGAAAACTATGAAAAACTTTGAAAATATAATTGTCAGCACAATTGCCGACACTCCATAACATTCCATGATGATTGTGAGTAAGCCCCCTGTTGGTTATACCAATGATGGACAACCTCTGCTCTGAGAGCAAGTCGTGCTCCCGACCTCTATTAGTATATAACGAGAGGTGAGGAAGGGTGGAAGAGGAGAGCCTATTGTGTCGGGTGATGGACCTTTAAGACCCAGGTCGTAAAGGCCCTTCTCCTCAGCTGAAATCACCCGAAGTGGGGGTAACACTTAAGAAAAGGAAAAGAGGAGAAGTATCGCTGAAAAAGAGGGAAAGCAGGAAAATGTGTCAAAAATGGAAAATTTGAAATTTTCATTTTTTTTTCTTTATTCTCCATTTTACAATTCCACAGAGGCGTCATGGGACACTCCCCAATACGGTGACAATGACGCCCCCCACGACTGTCCCCGCTATGATCGTACTGGGACCCTTATAATTGGCATGGCTATAAACTCTATTGGATTCCTCACTCGAGCTTATGACTCTGCTCCGAGCTACTTGGAGGTTACTCATCCCTGGGTTATACCATCCTGGATCTACCGATAACTCCAAGCACATGGTGGTTGAAAGATAATGTTGAGGAAGGAAGATTAGCCAATGTCTGATAATTGTTGCACGGTCACGGTACTCGATTCTTTTTTATAATAAACTTTCCTTAGCTTTGGAATCCCTGCAAATCAACGATGAATGCCATGCTGTAGTTGTTCTTGTTCATCGGTTATCTCTCCCCCTATCCTCATCCCATTTTCCTTGCTTAACATTTACCATTGAAACTTGAACTAAGAACTTTAATCGCTATGGCTTCCATCTCGTCCAACGTCCCAATGTCAGCACTCCTCCCCCGCCCCCCTCATTATTTGAGGAAGTCCCACCCTACATGAGCTACAATCGGGAGATGTTCCACTGACACATCCTTTAGCCAAAGGTCCTTGCATGAATATGTAAAAAATCATCATTCTTCACAAGGATTGT